AGCGTCACAATGCGATATGCCGGGGTTTCAAACCCTCAGGTCATCATCTACATCTATTACTCACCTCAAGCCGGCCACAAGTCTAGCTCGCTATGCCTTTTCCTCTCGAATCAACCTCCTCGCGTGCCGAATCTGGTCAAAACCACAAGGAATACATTACTATAGGCCAAAGAAACATAACCCAATCGAAAGGACTCGAAAAAAACACCAAAAATCACGAAGTTGGCAAAACCCGAGCCCCGGGCCCACTTCTCGAAAAATTACAAAATTTACATCACCGGATTCCTCATCTCGCCACGAGTCCATGCATATCAAATTTATAAAAATCAGAGTCCATTTGACCCCTCAAATCCCCATTTTTGACTCTCTTAAATTCAAGCCCTAAACCACCATTTTTGACCTTTGATTCCTTGATTATTCAGTCTAAATCCATGTTTATACACCATAAAATCAAACTCTAAGTCCAAGAATCGATACCTGATTAAAGCCCTCGAAACCCTCTTCAAAATCGCCTCGAAGTTCTCAAGGTTCGGAGTCCAAAATGTTACCCTTTCAAAAATTCGCGAAGAAGATAAATCTCACTTAACTGCCAGTTATTTCCGCTTCTGCGGACCAAATACCGCTTTTGCGACTTCCGCTTATGCGGTCAACGTCCGCTTTTGCGGACTTTTCACTTAAGGCCACTTTCCGCTTCTGCGGTCCCCAATCGCATCTGCGGGACCGCTTCAGCGATCCTAATCCCGCCCCTACGGAACCTGGCAAGGGCCAAGTTTTCCTCTTCCGCGCTCCTCAAACCGCTTCAGCGAGACCGCACCTGCGGCCCCACAACCGCAGGTGCGAAACCAACAGACACCAGCAACTTGAACCTGCAATTAACTCCAAAAATCTTCCGTTTAACCACCCGAACTCACCCCGAGGCCCCCGGGATCTCAACCAAAAGCACAGACATGATCCAATACCCTATCCAAACTTGTTCCAATCTTAAAAACGCATCCAACAACACAAAAATTCTCATTTTCATCAGTTTCAAGCCTAAGTTCTTCAAATTCTTCTGAAACTCACATTCGATCAAAAATCCAATCAAATCACCTCCGAATCACCTGAAATTTTGCACACATATCCAAAATCACCTAACGGATCTACTGCAACTCTCGAAATTCCATTCCGACTCCCGGATCAAAATCTCACCTACCAACCGGAATTCGCCAAAATACTAACTTCGCCAATTCAAGCCTAATTCTACCCCGGACCTCCAAAATCAATTCCGATCGCACTTCTAAGTCACAAATCATCCCCCGAAGCTAACCGAATCACCGGAATTCATATCTGAGCCCTCAAACTCAATAGTCAACATCCGGTTGACTTTTTCAATATAAGCCTTCCTTAAAGAGACCAAGTGTCTCATTTTCTACCAAAGCCAAACCAATTCGACTCTAACTCACCAAATGCCGATAATGGAACATGAAGAAGCAATAAACGGGGAAAACGGGGCGGTAACACATGGGACGACGGACCGGGTCGTCACAGATCTTAATATTAGTTCATCTCTTGTTTTGAATATTTAATCTTAATTATAATTTTACCCACTATAAATTTTATTTTTAAAAAATAAAAGATTGATATGATATTTGACTTTTAGATCTTTATGTTTGTAGAATCATTAGTGGTATTGACTCTTACCAACTATTTTTTTCTCTTTCGCACACATTTATATTCTTAAATATTTTCTTAGTTGTTGTTTAATAATTGGGTATTTTTCAATATTACACGAAAAAATGGTAAAAAATATATTATTTGAGTGAAAAAATAGTTCAAATATAATATAAAAATATATTATCGTGGGGGTATTTTTTTCTATATTTCAACTCTTTATGCAATCCATTTAATATTTTTTTTGTTGGTATTGGACATTATGGAATGGTAATGTATTGCCAATACGAAGGATTCTTATGAAATTAATTTTATTAAACCTTTCTACATATTTTTAATAAGAATTTAACAGATAAACTTTTGTTAATTTTAAAATCTTAAATATTAAAAATTAGCATAGAAGGTATTGTAATCCAAAAATAATTATTGCAGTTATGCCCTTTCCGTATGAGTTCTTCCGTTTAATATTTTAGGGCTATTGGTATATTTATCTTGTATATATGCTTTTATAATAATATAGGCTTTCCTTCTTTCTTTTTAAATGAATTTGGACAATATAATATATTCTCAAATTAAATTAGTAATATGACATTATAATACGTTTTCAAATTAAATTAGTAATAGGAATTTTTAAGAAGTATATATTAAAAGTAATAGGATTACATGACTAAAGATATTTACCTGTTCAATTTTATATGAATTAGACAGCTGGAAAGTAATTATACTAATAGGATTCCTAAAGGTAATCATGTGGTATTCCCAACTTAGTATTATGTCCTAAAACTAATAGGATTATAAGGCTACTATTTAGGATTCCGGTTATGTCCTTTTATTATGAGTTATTATGCTTAATATTATAAGGTTATTTTTGTAAACCGACATTGTATTCGTGCTTTTATAATAACTAGTCTTTATGTACGTTCCTCGCACGTATAACAATAGGCGCGCCTAATAATTAACATAAGATATGCAATTATACTTGTTACCAAAAAAAATTAATCTCATGCAATTTACGATATTACTAAAAATGCTACTTTTAGCTAATTCATTTTCTATCACTATTACTTTTTTTGGTTACTTATATGAAAATATGGACAAGGACGAAGACTTTCGTGCATATGAGAAGACTTGGTGACCATAAGAACTTGCATCCTATTGTGTCCTTTTACGATATGAGGGATGAAACAATTTTGGTCTTTGAATATGTGAAGAATGCTGACGTTCCAATTTATCTAGATATATACCACTCATACTCTCATATGACTAATTGATCACTACTATTTTTCTCTTTTCTTCTTTTTTTCTGTTTTTTTCACCTGTGATTTTATTCTTTTCTATCTGGTCTTAATATAATATATCATTTTTAATGAATGCAATTTATATTTTTTAATGATGAAAGACGAACTAAAATCTATATACAGATCTGGTTTGTACGATGAGTTAGAAATTATAGACCTATGTAATTAATGAACAATATTAAAGAAGTTTCCAGCCTTGTTCATGCTTGAAACAATGGAATTTTATTAATCAATGATTTATATGTACAAAATTTAAGCTTAAACATTATACGTTAATGCAGGACTTTAAATCCAAAACTAATGTACTTAACAACGAACACTACTTACTTGAACTCCACAATTAAAAAAAAGTACGATATAGAAACAATTTTCTTTAACTATAATACTGAACACGTCTTATATGAGTCCCAATAGTAGTAACTAACTTTATAGACGAATTTAAATCCTTGTGGGTATCACATGTATGTTAAATATTACTTATAATTTTATATACCCAATAAATGAAACTATGATTAAATTTCTACGGGGTATAAATGTCGATTATTGTTATGAGGATATTTTTGTAAATTAATATTTATCATGGAACATTATGCTTTTAAAATAATATAATTAATATTTCTCATGAAACATTAATGCTTTTAAAATAGTATAGATAGATATAGATAAATCAGTTCAACAATAATAAAATTAGAAACTTTCCCAAAACACATCAAAGATTACAAGAACAAAAATAAACAAATCACAAAATAGAAAAAGAGGTTAAAAATTCATGTACACAATTTGATTATATGAATATACATCTTACGTAAAATATAAAGAGTGGAAATCATGGACGTGCCTTTCTAATCCAAGTAGGATCAACTTTGTAGGGCAAACGTATATGTAGTTTAAATCGAAAAAGAATTCCATTATTTGATAATTTACAATTAGATCCTTAAATTATACAAATATTTAAGGGCATAAAAGGCGATCAATATTTTAGGAATATTTTAGTCGTTCAACATTTAACATAAATTATTCGTGCTTTTATGATAATATAGATAGATAGATAGATAGATATATAGATATAGATATAGATAGATATATATAGATATAGATATAGATATCAATGTAATTTAACTTGATATTGGTCACTTACAGCTCCTTACAAATTATCAGTTAGAGTAATATTATTGAACGTAACTAAAGATAATTAGTTTTTAATGAATCTGATTATATAAATATCTTTTACGCCGCTAATCAATATAACAACTCATAAAATAATTTGTAGATAAGAGTGTTTTTGGTGCGCATTTCAAACGGATAAAGCAGCAGGAAACGAACCAACCGTAAGAACCAGACATTTGAAAGCTCAATCAATAACGGCCATCAATGGCCGCAATATTCAGCATCAGCTTTGCTAGCTCCGCCATTGGAGCTCACTTCCACAGGACAAAATTCAATAAACCCAAGACTTTTGTAAACCCAATTCGTTGCACGGGTAGACTAGAATGGGTATATCCTCTTTTCCCCTCTTTATATGTACCTCTCATAGTAATAATTTGCTAAGTGTTTGATAAATGGTGAACTTGAATTATGTTTACAGGACCCAGAAGGCGTACTAGGTGCGCCCCAAACAGGTCACATAGCTAGACTCGAGTTCAAGAGACGCCTTGAGCAAGATGCTGCTGCCAGAGAAGAATTTGAACGTCAAGTCCGTGAAGAAAGAGAGCGTCGCAGAGTTCTTCGTGAGGTAATTTCAGTTGAATTCATGTTACCATTTTATAATAAAGATTTATCTGCAATTACCTTATTTGTAACGTGTGTGTAAATATTTTTACACCGTCAATCGGTGGCTAGCTAAAGGGTGTTAACTGACGCCCCTTTGCCGGAAAACCATACTGTTTAGCTAGGTCAAGAATTTAGTTTTATGTATACATACTACTTACTATATGTTGAATCTCCTTAACTTCTTTGTATGTTTACTTTTTTATATTTTGACACCCCTTAATAGTGAAATTTCTGGCTTCACCACTGCTGTCAATATATAGAACTTATACTGTTATTCGCGTGGAATGATTCTTTTTCTTGTGCCAAGTACGTGGAGATGTTTTCTTTTGATAGAGAGTTGAATCTAAGATGTACTTGATACCATGTTAAAATTGATGTGAGCACTTTATATGAAGCTGCTAGAGAAGGAACATTTTATTTCCTTGTGTTAGGTCTGCAACAATTTGTGTAGTAGTTAGTAAGACATACTTTGAATCTCTTTCCATGTTATGTTTTGGATGTAAATGTAATGTGTATCTTTGTCTTCTCTTTTCTTTTCATTCTGTTCATAGTCACGAGTGATTCCGGATACAGTAGAAGAGCTTGTGGAGTTTTTTCTTGACACTGAAGCTCAAGAGATTGAGTTTGAGATTGCCCGACTAAGACCACGGTGAGTTCTCCAGTGACATAGCTCAGGTGGTAACCTTTTACTGATCTTGTTGCAAAGTATGCAGAAAATGCCTATGATTTGTTTGACTCTTGGCTGCATTATTTCACGTTCAGCTCTTTTAGGTTATTCGGTGGTCAAGTATTTAAAGTTGCTGGCTTTTGCTTTTTAGCATTCTAAGTCTGTGATCAAGAAAATGCATATGTATTTTAAACTCTGTTTAATTTTGTAACTCTTCCAGAAGAAGAAAGCTATAAAATTACAGACTTTGCGAAAAGATGTAATAGTATTTAATTTCTTATTCAAAACAATTAAATTTCATATGATTGATATAAAGATCAACGGACAAGTATAGAGGAAATAATCATGTATGCAATACTGAAGTTAGCAGATTTTAGCTTATTGTTAGCTTTTGGTATGGAATCACTCAAAAGTCATTCCCAGTGTAAATAGAAGAGCTATTCATAATTGAAATGTACTGTAATGAATGTAACAAATGCCTATTTAGGTGGACTGATTATCTGAGATTATGACAAATGGATTACATAGCTGTAATTCAAATAATTGCCTCTTAAGAGAACATGAGTATTTCCTTATTATTTTCCATTTTCTTGACCTTTATGTTATCAAAAATTGAGAAAGTATTGGCACCTGACCTAATTTAAGGTATGCCAACATTTTCCCTTTAGAGAGTTAGCATAAGACCTTTATAACATCAAACTGCATGGATTTCTGTCCGGCCATTCTCTAGTTTTTCTTCTTCTACCCCAANCCAGACTGTTTTACATGGAAAAGGGTATGGGTACCTGAGCAGGTCGAGAAGTTGGATTAGTCATCGTATAATTCTTAAGTATCGGAGATACGTAGGAGTACATGTGCGGGTGAGAAGATAACTAACAATTGTCTTAAAAGTCACTGAACTTGGACAAATATAAATGTATTATGGCTACACATAATATTTGCTCTATGATTATATCTTGCACAATAACAAAGTTTTCTTATCCCTCTAGTGAAATATATATATATATATATATATATATATATATATATATATATACACACACACATACATACATACACAAAATCCGAAAATCAAAATAAAAGAACCTAGACAACCTATGCTTCTCGGCGACAGTTGTAGTCATTGCACTTAGGTGAATTGACCAAGTCTGGTGCATATACGGCATTACTCCCAAATCATGTTGGATTAACATGAGTGAAGCAGGGGATATTGAATGATCCGTGTTACATAAGTATACACGTCCCAGATACAGTTGATGATGAAGTTGTTAGCAGACTGTATTTGTAAAATAATTCTGGAAACAGAAATGAATATAAACAGAAATGAACATAAACAGAAATGACATAAAACCAATTCGAGCCCACTGAATTCACAGTGTTTCCTTAAGGAATTTAATCCCCTCTTAGTACCCAAGGTTATGGATTATTTCCTCCCAGGATAGAACGAATTACACACCGGTGTAGTGGTACTTCAAACCCCAGCGTTTCAGCGAACACAAAGTTCGGTAGCAAATCACACTTACTTTTTGCTTTGTTTGATGCTAAAAGTATGCAGAAGAAGGAGAAGAAACTCAGAAAATCGTAGTGAAATTCTGAGCAGAATAGTGTTGTATTTATAGCCAAAGTTGGGCTGAAATCTGAAGAGGTGCAACTCTTCCGAATGGCTGTTTATGCAAAACGCCCACAGCATAAATGCCATTACATAAATGGCCATTTACTCAACAATAAAGAGGGAAGATAAAGAGGGAAAATTGAAGAGGGTAGTTACTTTTCTGTTACCAAAACAGAAAAACGGATTGAATTTAATATTAATATTTAATATTAATATTAATATTCTGTTATTAAAACAAATATTTAATACTATTAACAAATAAATTTGGTCCAAAAAGTTAATCAATCAATCATTTGACCAAATCCGAATCCAAATCCGAATCCGAAGCCGAAGCCGAAGCCGTAGCCGTAGCCGAAGCCGAGCGAGCGACGACGACGACGGCGGCGCGAGGCTTGCCTTCTTCTCAACTCTTTAAGAGCTAGAAGAAGAGCAATTGCTTATATACCCATAAAAAACCTCTTCCTCTTCCAATATGGGACAATGCCCATTTGCCAAGGGGGGAACTTAAAATTTCACTCAAAAATTTTATTTCCCTCCATTTCCCATTTACCCTCTTTTAAGTATTTAATATATTAATTAAATACATCCAAAACCCAACAATCCCCCACATGAATGGGGAATGGCTATATCACGGAAGTATGCATGAAAAACTATGTGATTCGCAAGTAAGGATTAATTGCATCTGGATAAGTAGGTTTCCCTTTGAACTTTCCGTAGTGAACTTATGTCGGATATACTCGACCAATCGCTAGATTTGATATCTTTGAACCGTCGAACTTTAGTGTATACCTAGACAACCATAAGTCACACAACCAACCCTTAACCGTCTTTGGTTCTCATTGTTGTGTTCGTTTCAGCCATGAACACCGCTTGGTTTCATAAGTGCATAGAGAACTGACCTTACAATGTTCTCCTTGAAGCGGCTAACACTTCACACTTGCATAGGTGATTCCTAAACGTGTCATCCCGTAGATACACTATTTGATATACCCTGTATCAAATTTAGAAATCATTAAAAAGCCTTAATGCTTTATCCTTTGTACTGAACATTGTCTCATCACGAGAATGGACCAAAAGTTTAGTTGACAATGTTGAACCGTCATAAATGACTTTGTTTGATCTCCTTGAACCTAGATCTTGGGATCTCCAGTCTTCTAGGTGGAGTTACCGCCACTATGACTTGTTCTCGGCCACAGTCCCATTCCCCTTGATGACTTCTCAACTACCTCTCTAGTTAGGCCTTTTGTAAGTGGATCCGACACATTATCACTTGACTTTACATAGTCAATCGTGATAATTCCTCTAGAGAGTAATTGTCTAACGGTTTTATGTCTTCGTCGTATATGGCGAGACTTACCGTTATACATAACGCTCCCAGCCCTTCCAATTGCCGCTTGACTATCACAATGTATGCATATTGGTGCCAACGGTTTGGGCCAAAATGGAATATCTTCCAAGAAATTCCGGAGCCATTCAGCTTCTTCACCGGCTTTATCCAAGGCTATGAACTCAGCCTCCATTGTAGAGCGGGCAATACAAGTTTGTTTGGATGACTTCCAAGATACCGCTCCTCCACCAATAGTGAATACATATCCACTTGTGGACTTGGAATCAGTTGATCCGGTGATCCAATTTGCATCACAGTATCCCTCAATGACCGCAGGATATTTATTGTAATGCAAAGCAAAGTCCTGGGTATGTACTAAATACCCCAAAACTCGTTTCATGGCCATCCAATGAGATTGACCTGGATTGCTCGTATATCGACTCAATTTACTTATAGCACAAGCTATATCTGGTCGTGTACAATTCATGATGTACATTAAGCAACCCAACACACGAGCATAATCCAATTGTGATATGCTCTGGCCTTTGTTCTTTGCTAATGCAAGATTCACATCAATTGGAGTCTTTGCAACTTTAAAGCCCAAGTGCTTGAATTTTTCAAGTACTATCTTAATATAATGAGATTGTGACAATGCTAGACCTTGAGAAGTCTTATGGATCTTAATTCCCAGAATTAAATCAGCAACTCCCAAGTCTTTCATATCAAACTTGCTAGTTAGCATACGCTTAGTAGCATTTATGTTAGCAATGTCATTACTCATTATGAGCATATCATCCACATATAAGAAAACAATGACTATGTGATTTGGAACATTTTTAATGTACACACATTTATCACATTCATTTATCTTAAATCCATTTGACAACATTGTTTGGTCAAATTTAGCATGCCATTGTTTGGGTGCTTGTTTTAATCCGTAAAGGGACTTAACAAGTCTACAGACCTTCTTTTCTTTACCTGGAACCACAAACCCTTCAGGTTGTTCCATGTAAATTTCTTCCTCCAACTCTCCATTTAAGAAGGCCGTCTTAACATCCATTTGATGAATTTCAAGACCATAAACTGCAGCTAACGCTACTAACGTTCGTATGGATGTAATTCTTGTAACTGGAGAGTATGTATCAAAGTAGTCAAGACCTTCTCGTTGTCTATACCCTTTGACCACAAGTCTTGCCTTATACTTGTCAATAGTACCATCATCTTTTATTTTCCTCTTAAAGATCCATTTAGATCCCAACGGTTTGTTTCCAGGAGGAAGATCAACCAATTCCCATGTATGGTTGTTTAGTATGGATTCTATTTCACTATTGACCGCCTCTTTCCATAACAATGATTCCGTAGACCGCCTCTTTCCATAACAATGATTCCGAAGAAGACATAGCTTCTTTAAATGTTTGAGGCTCATTTTCCAATAAGAAAGTCACAAAATCTGGTCCAAATGAAGTAGACGTTCTTTGACGTTTACTACGTCTTGGATCTTCTTGGTTAAGTGTACTTTCTTTTGTTTCTTCCCGAGGTCGTTTAGATCCTTCACCAATCGACTCACATTCCTTTTTATACGGATATATATTTTCAAAGAACTCAGCATTATCTGATTCTATAACCGTATTATTATGAATGTCGGGATTTTCTGATTTATGAACCAGAAATCGATATGCTTTACTATTAGTTGCATATCTTATGAAAACACAATCAATGCTTTTCGGTCCTATTTTTACCCTTTTGGGTTTAGGAACTTGCACTTTTGCCAAACACCCCCACACTTTAAAATAATTCAAGTTGGGCTTCCTTCCTTTCCATTTTTCATATGGAATGGATTGTGTTTTGCTATGGGGTACTCGATTTAGTATTCGGCTAGCCGTAAGAATGGCTTCCCCCCACAAGTTCTGTGGCAAACCAGAACTTATCAATAATGCGTTCATCATCTCCTTTAATGAACGATTCTTTCTTTCTGCAATCCCATTGGATTGGGGCGTGTAAGGGGCCGTTGTTTGATGAATAATTCCATATTCTAAACATATTTGTTCAAAAGGAGATTCATATTCACCACCCCTATCACTTCTTATCATTTTGATTTTCTTATTAAGTTGCGTTTCAACTTCATTTTTGTATTGCTTGAATGCGTCTATTGCTTCATCTTTACTATTAAGTAAGTAAACATAGCAATATCGAGTACTATCGTCAATAAAAGTTATGAAATACTTTTTTCCACCGCGAGATGGTATTGACTTCATGTCACAAATATCTGTGTGAATTAAGTCTAAAGGATTTGAATTCCTTTCAACAGACTTATAAGGATGTTTAACATACTTAGATTCCACACATACTTGACATTTTGATTTGTCACATTCAAACTTGGGCAATACTTCCAAATTAATCATTTTCCGTAAGGTTTTATAATTGACATGACCCAAACGTACATGCCATAATTCATTTGACTCAAGTAAGTAAGACGAAGCTGAAATTTTATTATTATTTTCAACAACCATTACATTCAGCTTGAAAAGGCCCTCAGTGAGGTAACCTTTTCCTACAAACATCTCATTCTTACTTATCACAACCTTATCGGAAACAAAAACACATTTAAACCCATTCTTAACAAGAAGTCCAGTAGAGACTAAATTCTTCCTAATCTCGGGAACATGAAGGACGTTGTTCAAAGTCACCACTTTGCCGGAAGTCATTCTGAGAAATATTTTCCCATATCCTTCAATCTTCGCCTTTGAAGCATTTCCCATAGAAATCGTCTCATCGGGTCCAACGGGAGCATAAGAAGCAAAAGCTTCTCTAACAGCACAAACATGGCGAGTGGCTCCAGAATCAATCCACCACTCTTTAGGATTGCCCACCAAGTTGCATTCGGAAAGCATGGCACATAAATCATCAACATCATCATGCTTTTCAACCATGTTTGCTTGACCCCTTTTCTTGTCTTTCTTCGGAGCACGACACTCCGTAGATTTGTGTCCAGTTTTCCCACAGTTGTAGCAGTTTCCACTGAACCGCTTCTTGCTTGGGTTGTATTTCGGTCCAGAAGCCTTCTTTCTCTTTTTGTTCTCTTCAACAATATTTGCTCCCATTATTGTTGAATTTCCACGACCTCTCTTTTTCGCAGCTTTGTTGTCCTCTTCGATTCTCAACCGAACAATGAGATCTTCAAGGGACATCTCCTTGCGTTTGTGTTTCAAGTAGTTTTTGAAGTCCTTCCACAAAGGAGGCAACTTCTCAATCATCGCTGCTACTTGAAATGCTTCATTGATAACAAGACCTTCAATGAAATTTCTATTAGTAAAAATACTAAGATTACTACTTTCAACATCAATATTAAATTGAGTTATACCTTCAGCAAGGAGATCGTGAATAATCACTTGCAATTCCTGGACTTGGGTAATAACAGACTTGCTATCTACCATTTTGTAGTCCAAAAACTTTGCAGCAACAAGCTTTTTCAACCCGGCATCTTCGGTTTTGTATTTCTTTTCAAGCGCAGTCCACAGTTCCTTTGACGTTTCCACGCCACTGTAGACGTTATACAAAGCATCCTCTAGCCCGCTTAGAATATAATTCTTGCACAAAAAATCTGAATGCTTCCACGCCTCAATCACGAGAAAGCGTTCAGTTTCTGGAGTTTCATCGGACAGCACAGGAACATCTTCCTTGATGAACTTCTGGAGACTTAGAGTAGTCAAATAGAAGAACATCTTTTGCTGCCAGCGCTTGAAATCAATCCTAGAAAATTTTTCGGGTTTTTCCGCCGGTGCCAATGCTGCCGGTGTCGTTCGGCTTGTTGAGGCATTGGCAGTCACCATTGGAACAGCTTGGTTCTCATTTTCATTAGTCATTTCTGTAAAAGAATGACACAAACGTTAAAATCACGTAGATTTTAATAGAGTACAAAACCACAAAGGTGTTACTCTTCCAGAAACGGTAAGTACAAATACAGAAAATAAATTAAATTCCTTAAGCTTGTTAGTAGACTGTATTTGTAAAATAATTCTGGAAATATAAATGAGTATAAACAGAAATGAACATAAACAGAAATGAACATAAACAGAAATGACATAAAACCAATTCGAGCCCACTGAATTCACAGTGTTTCTTTAAGGAATTTAATCCCCTCCTAGTACCCAAGGTTATGGATTATTTCCTCCCAGGATAGAACGAATTACACACTGGTGTAGTGGTACTTCAAACCCCAGCGTTTCAACGAACACAAAGTTCGGTAGCAAATCACACTTACTTTTTGCTTTGTTTGATGCTAAAAGTATGCAGAAGAAGGAGAAGAAACTCAGAAAATCGTAGTGAAATTCTGAGCAGAATAGTGTTGTATTTATAGCCAAAGTTGGGCTGAAATCTGAAGAGGTGCAACTCTTCAGAATGGCTGTTTATGCAAAACGCCCACAGCATAAATGCCATTACATAAATAGCCATTTACTCAACAATAAAGAGGGAAAATTGAAGAGGGTAGTTACTTTTCTTTTACCAAAACAGAAAAACGGATTGGATTTAATATTAATATTTAATATTAATATTCTGTTATTAAAACAAATAAATTTGGTCCAAAAAGTTAATCAATCAATCATTTGACCGAATCCGTAGCCGTAGCCGAAGCCGAGCCGAGCGACGACGACGGCGTGAGGCTTGCCTTCTTCTCAACTCTTTAAGAGCTAGAAGAAGAGTGATTGCTTATATACCCATAAAAAAACCTCTTCCTCTTCCAATATGGGACAATGCCCATTTGCCAAGGGGGAACTTAAAATTTCACTCAAAAATTTTATTTCCCTCCATTTCCCATTCACCCTCTTTTAAGTATTTAATATATTAATTAAATACATCCAAAACCCAACAGAAGTGTTAGTAATCAGTTAGCTTGTAGAGTACTTCTGACATTCTGCCGTACTATTTTTTTCCTGCAGAAGCCTATGATAAAATGCAAGCAGATATTGTAGCAACAAAGAAGAACTTAACCGAGATTTTGACTTCAAAGGATGTCAAGGCTACTGTATGTGATAGTCTGTAAATTCTGCTTCGGTGGGTGTGCGTGTGTGGTTTGTATATTTTCTTAATTTTGTTGCTGAATTTAGATTGTTCCATTTTTTCGTGCAGTTATTGGATTTGGTTGAGAGGAATGAGCTGAACAGACCCTTGTTGACCCTTCTCGATGAAAACATTGCAACTGCACATAGTGTTAACCAGGTGAGACAAGAAAATTCCATACAATGCAGATAGAGGTTCTGTCGGAGTGATGATGCATATTAGTGACAATACTGGTGCAACATCACATGCGATAACTAAAAGTTAAGTAGAGAAATATGATTTGAAAAGGAAAAGAGGTACCTTTAGGAACTAAGCATCAATAACTGACATAGAAATCCATGCAATTTTCTAAAACTTCGGTGTACTCAAGGGTTATGCTGTGCTTTCTTCTAATAGTAATATGACAATCCAAAGAAAAATAATTTGCTTAAAACACACCTTTGTGTGGGTTGAGACTTGGTTGGGTAGAAATGGTAAGCAGCAGCATCTAGTGGCAAGTGAATTGCCATTATAGCTTACCACGTTCCTGAGTGTAATGACATATTGAAGTGTTACTAGCCAATCTTTGGTTGACAAAGAGGCAATGGAATCTCCATTCTTTGGTAGTTCATCTTTGATCAGAGTAATTATGATAAAGTTCATCGTTTTTTCTTCACTCAACTCTTTTCTGGTGTCTGATAGTCTCTCCACCATATCTTTTTGGATGATTTCCAGTAAAATCTCCCTTGTCTACAAATTACAGATATACAGAAGAGCAGAAAATTTATTAGTCTGATTTGTCCAATTGCACTCCACGTAACTCCAGTGAAAAATGTATTTTTAGTTCAAACTTAACTGGTTATGTTATCTTCACATTTGGCTATTATTCCTTTTGAATGTGTTGTTCTTTGCTAATAGGAGAAAAACAACAGCCCTAAATTAAATTGAATATTTTAATTACCTACATGCTTACTGTCTATCAGCTTAAGTACTAGTTGAATATGGTCAATCTTGTTCTAATGGATTGAGAATTGCTTCAGAAGAAGCTTTTCTTTTAGGAGTAATGTTTATCTAGTTCGGAGACTCGTCCTTAATGCAGTCATTGGCAAAATAATTGATGTGCAAAACCGATTACTCTATAGAAAGCTATTGTCTTGATGAGCGAGGATTTCAGCTCATTGAGCTCATCTCATGCATGAAAGGTGAAGCACACAACAGAAATTATAAGTTAGGATATGGTTAAGACCTATGAAGTAAAAAAGATGTGAAACAATGCAAGGAAAGTTTACAAGACTTTTGGAGTATGAAACCTGGAGATAAGAGCTTGCGCATACCATAAATCAAAACTACTCTGCCTACATAACCAGTAAAGAAAAGGAAAAAAAAAGGAGCATTGTAATTGGGTTATCGGAGAGTCTAATGTGTTTGAAAGAGTGTACTTCTACACTTCAATTATCTAAAAGATTGACTGATAAGGTTGATAGCGTGCAGAAAGATTTTGATTCATGTAAAGTTTTTCTGAATTATCTTACTGAAAAATATTTGTGGGGAGTCTTGGGCCAACATCCTCGCTAGCAAGGGGCAAAGCTACATTCTCTTAAGGGTGGTCAATTGATCACTCTTCGTCGAAAAATTACACTGTGTATATTGGTAAAATATTGTAACTTTTAGAGGTATATAACATATATTGAACACCCTTTGTCGGGAATTTTTTCCACTTATTTCAAGTTTGATACTTGGTGAAGGCTACATATCAAAACCATCACCGTAAATTTTGAATGCCTCATTTTGTAGTAGAAAGTATTGATCAATATGTACAAAAGCTTTGACTACGATTGTCTAACTTTGAACTAATCTTTCTTTGGAAATGCAGAAACAAGCAGCAGAGTACATGGAAAAGCTGAGAGGACTTGTTCTGAAGTACTTAACAGTATAGGTTTTCGTTTTAAAAATATCGACTGCTCGTCTCATTTTTATACTGAGTAATGGTGAGAATTTCTGGTTGTTTATATTCTACTAATGTATTATAGTACAAAATTTTGTAGGAAAATGATCCCTTGTAATAAGAAAAAGAAAGCAATCCCATCTATTTTGAAAATCAAAGTGGAAAGAATGAGTAAACCATGTAATTGAAAATGCATGTTTATGAAGGTGCTATTAAAAATCTAAACCCTTAGACTGCAATCAGATGTAAAATGAGTAGAATTGTAGAAGTGGTTATCTTATGTTTACTGGATTCTAAGTTGTACTCCCTCCGGTCCACAATAAGTGATCAATGTGCTTTTTTATTTTGGTCCAAAATAAGTGTCCATTTATATAATCAAGAAAAAATTCAATTTGCTTTTCCAGAATTACCGTTATGTACGTATCCTTAAAAAGTCATTTACTCCTCACATTTGAGAAGAGAAGTAAGTGCTACTATAACTATGCTGCAACATTTGATTAAGGGTAATTTAGTCACACTAACTATTTTTATCTACAATTTAGTATTTCCTTAATGGGTGTGCCCAAAGTAAATTGGTCGCTTATTGTGGACCAGAGGGAGTAAAAAGGAAGGATATTTTAGGAAGAGATGCGAGGAATCTCAATGAAAGTCTGGGCAAGAAAACTAATGGGACTGATCTTTAGACTTTTGTCCTTTCTTGTAACTTTCACCTAGGTAGAGCTAGTTATGTTCCCAAAGCTGGATCTATGTCTTCATCCAACCCTAACAAAATGAAAATTTAGAGAGGAAATTTGTCTGCTGTCTATTATGGTTTTCAGTTGCAGGTAAAGTCTTAGGTAATGTTGTAAAGTGAACATTCAATAGTCATTTCTTGGCTTCATAAACAGAGGTGAAAATTACCCTGTGCAGCATATAAAAAGTTGAAATAGGTACCCTGGATGCTTATTTTGTGCCTATCCTGTCTGCTATTTTGCCATTCGGTATCTGGAATTCATTATCCCGACTAATTTGGATTGGCGCTGGTTAGACTGTCATTTGATTGTCAAGATACTTCTTTCATGAGTTTTGTTCCTAGATAGGTAGTACATAGTTCTCTACAATGTCCCAAAACATCACATACTGTTCAGTACTCATGAATTATATAATACTGAAAAAGCAGGATAGTCCTATGCACAAAGCATCCCACATTTATGTGGAGGGTCGCACCCGAGGGTGGGATATAGACATCCTAATGTAATGTAAGCATTAGTGACTTCTTCCACATCTCGAATCCGTACGGAGACAACTTTGCCGTTGCTCCAAAGTTGACATTTATAAATAGTTTTTCTCCGTCTTACTATTAATTGTACCAGTCTACCAGAGCTGGCTGCCAGAACTTATGTTCGAGTAATACAAAATCACCCTTTAAACTATGTAATGATTCCTCTTTGTATAATGTTGCCTGTACAAACCATAAAATAATGTTTAGTAGGTGACCTTCCACATGAATAACAATAACAGAGTTACTATTGTTTTCAACAATTAGTACATTTGGAGACACAAGGCACAGAGCAAAACTAAAAAATGTATCAAATTTTGTCTTTTCTGTTCTTAATTTAAGAACAATCGAGAACCATCCAGGAAGTAATCAGCTCTTCTATTTTTCTTACTCAATGTTTTCTAGTCACATATTGGTCAAAGCTTCTCTTTGTATCTCTTGCATTAATAACGTTGCCTAATAGGAATTAAGAAATTAATTTCATAATTTACTATATCTTCTCTAATTTACTAGACTATGATACTTATCTGCTGTGCTGTAACACTAATCTCACTAGGTAATCTTGGTTCTTAAGCTTCTTTCTGACAAGCAGACAAGCCACACGTTGGTGTTTAGACATCTACTACGTTACCTTAAAGTTTTGTACATATCTACAGTGGCGGAGCCACATCCAATCAAGGGGTGTCGACACTCTTTCGCCGGAAAATTACATTGTCTTGCTAGATTAATTTTTCTGCTTTATGTATATTTGTTATACGTTGACTCCCCTAAACTTTTTGATGTATCTATTTTTTTTATTTAATATTTTGACAGCCCTTAATAAAAATTCTGGTTCCGCCGCTACATATCTATCTAATTGGTGATAAGCTTGAGGCGACCAAAAAAAGATTCCATAAACTTTAGACCACATTCCAAGTTGCAAGTTGCAACCAAAAAGAGCATAAATGGCAGATTTTTGTGAGAAATAATATAAGGTGGAAAGCGTGAAAGTTGCAAAGTAATAAGAGCCAAAAGCAAAAGGGGCATGTGAAAACTTGTACATTACATCCAAAAGAAAGAAGATATTTCCAATTGTTTTACTTAAAATACTATTACTAACTTTATAAACATGTTAGGCATACAGTAACTAGCAACCACTTTTACTTTTAAGGAGGGTGGTTAAATGGATGGTATTTTTCGCACTTAATCAGGATCTTGTTGTTCCTAGTTCGAGCCATAAAAATAAAGAAACTTCTAGTAAAAATTATTTCTTTTTTTAAGAGGTCTTAAAAAAAAGGTAGTTCGGTACACTAACCTTCCCTATGCGCGGGGTCCGAAAAAAGGTCGGACTACAAGGATCTATTTAAACCGCACAAATTCGAATAAGTGAGGTAAACTTTGGATACAGAATAAAGGAAAAACTAGCAACCCTTTTAAATTCTATATAAAGCTTCACTATACTCTTGTACACTACACTGAAAGTAGAGTCATTTCAAGTTCAAAGAAAAAAGAAAAAAAAAACATGGGCAACTTCCTAAGTCTTCACTTGCTGATACTATTCTTCTCTCTCCAATGTTTTCTTGCTTATACTATGGCTAAATCTGCTGCTATGCGCTCAAATCCTGATGCCAAATTCATTAGAGTTTCATGTAAAGCCACACTTTACCCTGTCTTATGTGTCCAATGTCTCTCTGCTTATGCTAACACTGTCAAACAAAGTGAGCAGCAACTGGCTCGTGCTGCTTTATCAGTTAGCTTAGCTAGAGCAAAATCCACCACCATATTTGTCTCTAAGTTAACCAGAGTTAGAGGCCTAAAGCCAAGAGAAAAACAAGCTGTAAAAGACTGCTTTGATACAATGAGTGATAGTGTAGATCAGATCAATAAATCTATACCAGAACTTGGGCAAACTGGTCATTTTGCTGCTGGACAGGACTTTATGTGGCATGTTAGTAATGTGCAAACTTGGGTTAGTGCTGCAATGACAGATGAAAACACTTGTCTTGATGGATTTTCAGGACCTGGTATGAATGGAAATGTGAAAGCTGTTTTAAGGTCAAGAATACTTCATCTTGCACAAGTTACTAGTAATGCACTTGCTTTGGTTAATCGTTTTGCGGATAGACACCGACCTAGACGGGAATAGAGAAATTCCTGGTAGGGAGCCCTTAATACCCCTTAATACAAAGTTATGGAGTTTCAGTGAGGTAGCTGGTTTTGATGTGTAAAGGTTATGTTTACTTTATGCTACTTTAATTTTGCATAAGCATGAATTTTAGGTCTTGTGTTTAGTGCTATAAATATACTACTGTTCTAGTAGGTTTTTGTGAGATGTTCAATTTTGTAGCTGCGAATGAAGATAGTGCAGCTTAGTTTGCTGGTCTCTATGTAAATATAATAATATCTTTTTGCTTGTTTGGGCTTTCTTTTTGTACTCTGTTTCATTTTTGTATAATAGTACTACTTAATGCTGAACAAAGAGTAATCTTGCTTTTTTTCTCATTTCCTTAACTCTTAGCCTCTGTTTTTGTGGGGAGGTTTTCATCTGCTTCCTAGAAAAGATGGAGGGTATACTATAAAATGACATTAATGCCATTAGGACAGGTCTTGTGCTCAAATTTTGTAGGCTTAGTGGTAGATGGCTGGATCATGATTGGCCTCCAGGGGAGCTTGGGCTCAGAGGCGAATTCAAGATTTAAATTTTATACGTTTAACTTTTAAAATTTTTAGAATTTAACCTATTATATTTTTATAGATATGAGTTTGTGTTTACTATTTGCAGTAAAGTTTAATACATAAATTTATGTTTTGTGTTAAAAGTTATGAGTTCAATTGAATTCATACCTAGAAGGCTATAATTGTACATCAGCACCTATCTAGGTTGCAGAAGGTCGGGAAAAAATTAAAAATAGTCAAATTTATAACTGGTAATTGAAAAATAGTCACAGTTTCAAAAATAATCGAAATGTAGTCACTTTTCCATGTAAAGATAAAATCTGAACGAAAATACCCTTAAAATCCGAAAATATTCCAGCATAATATGCTGAAGTTCAATTTTTTTTTACATATGAGCTTCCAGCATAATGTATTGGATTTTCACAATATGCTAAAGTTCCAACATAATATGCGGAAAGTTTATATGCAGGAGCTTCATAATCACGCATATTATGTTGGAACTTTCCGTGTGCTGGAGTTCCAACATAATATGCTGGAGGTTTATATGCAGGATCTCCATAATCCCGCATATTATGCTGGAACTTTCCGTGTTTCAGCAAAATAGTGGCTATTTTTCAATACTTTGTAAACACTGACTATTTTTCGATTACCGATAAAAAAATATAAAAATAGCACGAACTAGACAGTTTTCGGACTGGTCATTCAAAAATAGCCGGCGTTTGCAAAGTCATTAAAAAATAGCCACTATTTTGCTGCAACACGGAACGTTCCAGCATAATATACTGGAGATCGGTGCACCTGTATATGAATTTCCAGCATATTATGCTGGAACTCCAACACGCGGAAAGTTCCAGTATATTATACTGGAACTCCAGTATATTATACTGGACCTGGAGTATTTTTTTTTGGATTTTGAACAATATTATCGTTCAAATTTATCTTTACATGAAAAGTGGCTAAATTTCGATTACTTTTGAAATTGTGGCTATTTTTGAATGACCACTTGTAAATTTGACTATTTTTTAATTTCTCACTCAAAAAACTGGCTAATCCGTGCTATTTTCACTAGAAGTTCAGAAACAAAAATTATAATTTCTTTTAATGATGACAAGACGTGAGATTGACGTTGCTCTCACTCTATAATTTGCACAATCTTCTATATGATTTGAATTGTAATATTTTGATGAATGAGAGTTGTTCATTTGGAGACAAATGAGATTATACTCTGATGAAATTGAGTCGTCAGTCGTAACAATATTTTTGTCGTAAATTGGAATAATAATAATATACTAAATAGGACAAACTGATAATGGAGTAGTTAATATTGAAGATTTTATAAAACGGCTTCTAAGGCGATAGAGACGTCCAAGGCTAATACTGTCGGTATTATCGCGCCGCAGTCCCCGGACATATGGTTGTCTTTAGTTGGATTTCTCTTTAATTAATTATTTATAGTCAGATGGCTTTTGATTTCCGTTACCTGTCCTGTTCTTTTTCCTTTTCCTTTTGTTCCCTTATAATTTTTAATTTGAATTTTGTTGGAACGCATACATGATAGTGGAAAAAAAATGACATAAGAGTTAGGAGTAATTTGGTTCACATGATAAATAGGAATTATAAAGTAGGGATTGTTTATACGTATTTTAATAATGAAAGAATTATATGCATTTGTGAATAAGAGATTGTGACAACTTATATATATGAATTGCATACTTTGAAAAGATAATTTTGTCTTTTAAATAGTTTAATCTTGACATTTTGGGTAAAGTTAATTTTACGTACTATAAAAAATATTGGCGGGATTCATATTTTACTGTTCTTAAAATCTTGATACAACTTTATCCTTGACTGTTTATTTTAAAATACCAAATGTGAAATTATGATTCCACACAATTCTTAGAGTTTGGTTAATCCATATTTCAAGTTTCTTTGGAGAGAGCACAAATACTACGGGGGTTTTGTATTTATACATGGTTTTGGGATCACAATTGAACATATACTCACTTTGCATAAATAAATATGCAAGTCTACTCATTTTGCGATCAACTTCAGACTTATCGAGTCTGAAGTTAAAAAAAAATTAGTCTGAAGTGAAAAAATTTCACTTCCGATATACTTAAGGCCAAATAGGTCTGAAGTGAAACCAATGGTTTCATCCACTTAAGGCCAAGAAGTTTGAAGTGAAAAATTGCACTTCAGACGCACTTAAAGCCAAAAGGTCTTAAGTGCAACAAACGTTTTCCTACACTTAAGGCCAATAAGTCTGAAGTGAAAAATCGAACTTCAAATGCACTTAAGGCCAAAAGGTCTGAAGTGCAACAAACTTTTTCCTATACTTAAGGCCAATAAATCTGATGTGAAAAATTGCACTTCAGATGCACTTAAGACTACAAGGTTTGAAGTGCAACCAACATTTTTATGCACCTAAGACCAAATAGGGCCGAAGTACAAATTGCCCAGAAATAGAAATTTGTTCTTCGAATTTTAACAATCCAATACAGGATTTAATACCTAAATCTACTCCAAATGAGCTCAAATTTGAAACATAACCTCCAAATATCATCAAGAACAAACCTTACTCGTCAATTTGTGACAACAACAATAAATCTAACGAACCCATTTTCCAATTAAGAAAAAGCAATAGTAAAAAATAAAGCACCACAATAGCTCACCACTGTAAAACATCATAAACTACCTTAAAATATGCTCACAAACCATATAAAATCACTGTTACCGGAGAAGGAGGAGAAAAAGCCTAAAATTGTTTAAACAATGGATATAAGTTAAAACAAATTTTAAAAGTAGGTACATATTAAATGAGATGACTAAATAGAGCGCCCGTACAATTTTTACAAATAATAATACGTAATTCTTTTTAGGAGAAACACATGGGAGAAGAGCTTTGGAATCTTTGCCAAGTGAAAGCAGCTAAATCACAATTGATTCTGCGGGTCTGTGAGCACGTGAAGCCCAACTAGCCACGACAAACCTCATGGGCAAGGGTCCATTAAGATTCTCCTTATTGTGGGCCCAGCATGTCAACGTAATAAGACAGGGCATGTTGAGAAAAAGTGAAGCATATGACATTCTAGTAGGAAAAACTGCTAGCTATGTTTATTTATAAGCACCTCATTATAAAAATTGGTCAATTCATAAAATATTACTAATATTGTCAATTAAATATTTGTAGCAAAAAAATATTAATTTTTTGCTTTCTTTTGAGTGAGTGTTATTAGAATAGATTGGGTACATCTTAAGGAGCTTGAATCTCGATTTTGGGATGATTTGGTGAAGTTTTGAGGTGGTTTGAATTGAAAATTCGAAGTAAAAACTGAACATGAAAAAAATGATATGTGCATCACACTGTGTATCACATATGTATCATATTTGTATCAAATGTATATCCATGTATTCCTGTGTGTGAGATGCATGCGTGATACATGTGTCGCAGAAGAATTTTTTGAACTCAATTTAGTTAGGAATTTGATACAAAAACAGTCCAAATCACCTCCAATCTTCCTCAAATTTTGTATATTGACTTATCTATATGTTTTCAATGAATTTCAATTATATCCATTGAAAAAGTTTATTTTTTGCTTAGATTTTTGGAATATTGTATATTATATTTTTTTTGTATTTCTTCACTTTATTTGCTACCTCATCCATGAAATTTCCTTTTCGTCTCGCATCTAATGTTGCTAATCACGCTTAAAAATATGGAAGGTGATTTTTGCATGTGATTTTTGAGAGAAAGAACCTTATTTATTTAGTTTTTTAATTTTTATATGTACTTGGCTAGAGGTTGGTAAGTTGAGACTTATTTGGGACATTTGTGTAAGTTTCCTTTTTAGTAGGCGTTTGGAGTTAAGTTGGAAAAAAAATATTTGAAAGGGATCTTTACACAAACAATCGACCATATTTACTATTTATTTTTTCTAGCCATATACATAGATTATATATTGTTTATATATAATTGTTCACATATAACACATAAATTATGCATATATTATACCTTCACCGGCTATTTTTTGTTTAAACGGTTAAATGGCCTGCTACTTGGGTTAATTCTTCTATTTGAAAATTGTATTTGGACATATCACTTGAAAAACTATTATAGTTTTGTCACAACCCCAAACCACCCCTGCCGTGATGACGTCTATCACAGTACTAGGCAAGCCAATTCAACATTTACTACATCGAATTCTTTTTATAAATTCATTTTTCTAAAACAGATTAAGTCTCAAATGTTTCATTTTTAATATATCAACAGAAATACGCAGAAACCAGTACGAAAACACATCAACACAGCCCGAATTTGGTGTCACTAGTCATGAGCCACTAAGTACAACTCAACACTGTTTGCTTAACACAAAATAAGTCTGAAATATAAAGTACTAGGATAGGAAGGAGAAAAAGCAGGGCTGCGAACGCCGTGCAGCTACCTTGCTAACTCCGGAAATACACCGAAGCTGCTGAAAGCTCTCACTCTGATGCTCTGGCACCTGGATCTGCACACAAGGTGCAGGGAGTAACGTGAGTACGCCAACTCAGTAAGTAACCAAAGTAAATAAAGTCTGAGTGCAGTGACGGGCATTTAAAATTATATGCATACTTTATCAAGAATCTCAACAGAAATATCAAAGTCAAAATCTGCAGTTCAATAACCAAATGTCTCGTAAAAACTCCAGTTTCAATAAAAATCCTTTAAAGCATTTATTCAACATTTATCAATAGAGGCTCAGTATAAAAGAAGAGTGAAAACAGGAAATCTCATAAACAAGCCCCTCGGGCAAAGTATCACTCATAAGTATAGCCCCTC